GAAACCGGTCCCTGGTACAAAAAAGGTTGGGGACCACTGGTCTACAGGGGAGGAAAGGGCCCTGATCCCCTTCATGGGCTGCAGCTGTGAGAACTGTTTAAAAGGACAAACTGCGCATGGCCCAGTGCTGGAAGCAAAGCGTGAAATAATTCTAGTCTGTCTGTTCTTATCTCAGTTTTGGCATCCTTCCCAGTGTGTGTATTTCGATATCTGTGGACGTCTTCAAGCCCTTATCCTGCCTGGTCTCCTTAATTGCTTCCGTGTGGTTTGTGTTGTTTTTTCCTATTTATAATTTATATGTATTTTGAGTTTGAATGGAAGTTCTTCCTTTTCGCAACTGTTTGTGGGGGAGTTTTTTCTCCAGTCAATGATAATCGGACCTTTGAAGCCAAGTGGAAGGAATTGAAGGGACTTCACCTGGTTTTGTGACATTGTTGCTTTTGTGTCCCACCCTGGGTCCTCACAACCTCCCAAGTGTGACAGGGGCACCCCAAAACGGCTCGCCGCCTGCTGCGTTGCCCCCCCCACACCCCGAAACGTTGCAAGGAAGAAGAACCCCCAAAGGAATGAAGAGCTCAAGGGACAAACGACGACTTTCGCTGCCCCACCTTGCTGATGTGCTGGCAGAAGGCCGGGATCGCGATCATCTGGCTCAGAAAGTTGAGGTACGCGGCCACCAGCCCCATGATGCTGCACCGGTTGAACATCGGCAGGTTGTCCTCGTTGAGAATGGCGATGTCCTTGCGGGGGAGGAGGGAGGGAAAAAAAGGGGAAGGGAATCAAAACGCACCTTGGAAGCGTTTCCAGGTAGGCAGGTGGGCACTGTGGCCTGCCTCTTATTTTTATTTCTTTTTTATTTAGATATTCTTCTGCACCTCTCACCGCCCCCTAAGGGGGGCCTCTCCTCCCCCCAAGGCCTGGCCTTCCTCCCCTGCCCCCCCCCCCCAGGATACCTGCAGAGCGATGGCCAGGCGGATGAGGTCGGTGACCACTTCCTCGTTGGCCAGCTCGATGGTGATCAGGGCCAGCGACGTGTAGAGCAGCTCAAAATTCTTGTGCACGTTGTCGACTTCTTTGCAGCCCACGTAGACGTGCCGGTACAGCTGTTGGCCGTGCTGAGTGGAAGGAAGGAAAGGTGCCCAATGCCGCATGTGGGGGTACATTAATGCTAAAAAGCGGGGGGGGGGCTTGGTTCCTCCCACCTCCCCTCCTCTACTCCTTTCCTTCCT